TTTATGGTAGTACTAGTATTGTAGAAAAGCAGGTAGACATTCCGTTGCTCCGTTACAGTGTACTGTTGGCTGTCTGAACCCTAGAATGACCTCACCAATCACATTACTATTATGCTACTACCCCTAAATCGTGTCAGCATTGGCTGTTCAATGTACTTTCAATGCTTCTTCTTCTTTCACAGTTCAACCGTTTTCCACAGAAACATGTCTTTTTATTTATGGCTGCACTCTGACGTTCTTTTATAGGACTCAGGTATAGATAAATATCTTACCACTGGGAGTCCTGGCTGAACACTGGTACAAGCACTCAGGGCAGTGGCAGTAAGAAAATAGTGGATTTTCTTTGGTCCGCCACCTTGTTTATTTGCCCAAAGCTACAAGCATCCACACTGGCCTTGTATTGCTATTTTCACACAGTAACGGTGACCTGGCAGTGCATTAAGGCAGGTCTGCAGCTACACTCCAGATCCAGTTGGACACGCTAAGCCCGCTACTGCTCACCAGAGACCTCTAAATTACTGCCTTTCACAAGCAAGAAAAGCACCTCACATGTTTGAGGAGAGTTTCTTTTTTTGTGTTTGCTGTTATGTTTTCTGTTCCGTCTCAGTACAGTACACACAAAGAGACATGGTTTGTACATCGGATATCTCTGCTAGTGCAAAGTACTGTAAGTGTTAGTGCGTGCCAAAAAAATCGCTTTCACATATCAAGTTGTTGTACGCCCAACACCCATATTACTTCATGTTTTATCCTAAATAACCACTCACACTCTGAAAGGTATGAAGCTGACTAACATTGGCAAATATATTTGAGAGGCTTAAGGTTAATACTAAACTGCTGTAATCCATTATTTGGTTGGTTTCAGAGTAGAGATAGCAATGGTTCAGCATGTACCTGTCAGTACTAAATGATTGCTTATTTCCTGCCAGAGGGTGGGTGGGTGTGTGTGTGGGGGGGGGTTGTGGGTGTAATAACAAGCAGCTGCCTCAGCTGGACCTTACCTTTCCTTTCTGTCAGCCTGCTGTTCTCTCAAGCTAGCGTCCTGTATGCCAAAACACCTACTTGTGCTCAAGTTCTGCACTGCCTGTTCAAGAGAGCAACTGCCGTAGGTAGCGTGTAATCAGGACGGAGTACAAGACAAAAGCTTGATCCACGTTGATGAGCGGTTACTTCCTGTGAGGCTGTGTTGGAGGAAGCAGTACGCACAAATGAAAAGCATCATTCTATGTACAGAGGCTCACTCAACGCCTACTGCTTATGACAATTCTTTTTATTCTTCCTACTGTGGCTTTCCTTTTGTGATTAGCTAAATGCTCCATTGATCCGCACCCGAGTCGAGGCACCCGGAGCGAGGTAGCCATATTTATCACATAGCGAAGGGAGCATGCGGGATGTTGCACCGGCTGTCCCTCTTTCATTGGAAAACGATAAACATAAATCTGTGGAATGCATCCGTGTGATCTAAGTCTACAGCCGACTGGGGGTGGGGGGGGGGTGGGGAGGCCTGATCTGCACCGCTTTCCTCAGGCCCTAGAATTAGAGAGCCGCAGCTCTATGGGGTTTGCTGACATTTGAGGAAAAAAAAGCCCACCTTCAGCAAAGGCAGACTTGCAAATCAGTGTCACAAGTGCAGGACTGTTGCTCTAAAATGGGAGCGAGGATGTGAAGGCTTCTGAGGAGCCCCCTCAGCAATGCAGAGGGACCGTGGATAGGGCAAGGCTTCTCCCTTTGAATCACAGCTAATTAACGAAGTAATTAAGATCCGAATCTCTGCTCGGAGAAGGCCTCTAAATTGTCTATACATTCAAATAGGCCATCAAAAGGAAATCCCTTGCATTCAGGGAAAAGGTAAATTAAAGCGTTCAGACCCTTTCCTCTCTATTATCCTCGCCGTGTGTCACACAAGGGACATCTGTTGAAAAGAGCAAGCCAGTGTTACGGTGAGTTAAAGCCCTCTCTGCTCCATCAGAAGCACTGTTCATAATGCATTCGCTATACATATTTCAGCTCGAGTGAATTTATTTCAATAAATAATGTCACTCCAAGGACACACTTCGATCTTTCCACGGCCACACCATATTGTTATCTCATTCCTCTTGTGGCAAATGACACATTAACAAACAGTTTATAAACAGGGCACTTAGCACGTCCACAGTTTTATCATCACTGCACACTGCTAGAGTAACCTCTCTTCATGATGGATGTGTATTACATTTATTCTGCTGCTGCAAGGATATCTATGGGTATGGCCATAATGTTAAGGCTTACAGAGAATTTCATATAGTGGGCGCAAAGTGAATGCGGTTTATGGCTGGGATTAAGAAAAGTGGGCTTTTTTAGTAGATGGTTCATCTACTGAGTTGGCTTTTTTTAAATGCTGCATCCTTCAACTGACCTGCTTCTTGAGTAGAATGCTTCATGGCATTCAGGAAGTGCCTTAGTTTTCTCTGTCAACAGTCAATGTGTCGGCCGGTGTTTGACTTTCACAAAGACACCACATTTTGTCTTCAGTCACTTCTTTTACTTACTACATCAATCAGTGAGACCATTACGAAGGACCGGTACTGCCCCTATTGACATCCATTGGATGGATTACCATGACAGACATTCATGGTCCCCAGATGATGAATCCTTATGATCCTCTGACCTTTTCTCCGCCAACAGCATGTCAAAGGTGTCCATTATTGACCAACATGTTGACCATGTTGAGCAAAATAGACAGGCATGGAATATTTTTTAGAAATGAATGGTCCCCAGGACTAACCTTGATCCTAAAATCTCATAATTGTTTGGATGGATTGTCATTATGTGATACGTACAGGCCTAATGTAACTTTGCTGATAGTTACAGTGCCGTTGCGACTTTTCCAGGAAGCTAAATAAGCTAACTATTAAGTTTAAAAAAAGTTGGTGATTTTATCAACATTTCTTTGTGTGTGTTAGTCCTTTTCCCCAGCTGGGTCATAGGACAGCGCAGGAATAGGCCTTTTACAGTTGGACTTACTGGTTGATAAGTGTTCCCTGCTCAGGGTACAAAGCAAACTCCTGTTTCCTGAGCTGTCTTGGGCAATTTGTGCTGAGCTCAGTGTAGTGCCAGAACGTTTCCACTTATGTTTCACCTCAGTCTATATACTCTGCAGAAAGACACACTAGGTTGAGACCGTGGTGGTGAAATTCAAGCGCAGTCCATGTTGAGTTTAGAGGCCTCTACCCTTTTTTTTTACCAGTGCTTTTCATGTATATCGTCGGAGCCCTGGGTCTTCACACATTACCTTTCTGAACGCTGATGTAGGTAGAGATCAGGCTCACAAAGCCTAAAGTGTTGCTTTCAAGAGAAGTGAAACTGTTTCTTGTCAGGCTCTTAAAAAGTCTTGATGTTAACTGCCTAAATTTAGCATTTGTAAAAATCGAGCATACCTATAAATGCCAACAGGTTCCCCTTTCAGGTTACAGTTGAAATTCACATAACCCAAATCACTTCCTCTTTTCTTTCCTCTCAGGCAGGAAGGGGTTACTCTCCATGTTTCCTGTCCAATTCCCAGAGCTCCGGCTATGTTCTGATTGCTTTCTTGATGTTAAACATTCCCAGGCTCCTATAACCTTCTAGCTTGCCTCCGCCGTCCAAAAGCCGTCCCAGGTGAACGAGTGGGCGAACCTCCTGTTTTTAAGGATAAAATCTCCACACACTTTTTTTTTCTTTCACAGGGGGTGGGAGATATGGGGACTGGAGCGGCAGGGATCCGTGTGGTGGGAAAGCATTCCTTCTTTGCATTCCGTTTAGTTAGCGTAAGGCTGTGGGAAAGCATATTTTCCCAACCATGGTTCGCTGGAGTCAGTTTTTCTTGTGAAATATGGCTGCACATGGTATGAAGGTTGGATAAAGCAGGGCACAGCATGTTGACCTTTTCAAAGTGTGATGGAGTAAATAAATATGAGTCAGTCAACTTAAGGAACATGCCCTACCAACTCATGTTTTCTGGACACCGAGGTTAACATGCTTCCCTTTCAAACGTCATCCCTTTATTTATTTCTTCCGCAACTCCTTCCCACACACTTCCTTCCCTCCTGAGACACCTGATCGACAGCTGAGTTATGTTATCTCGTCTGAGTCAGTGAAACCTTCACATCAGTCATAAAACAAACGGCATCCAGATTGAACTAACATGCATGGATGCTGCGGTGTGGATATGACCCAGGAGCAGAGCTGGGCCAAGCCGGACTATATTTAGCCCAGCGTTGCTCAGGCTAATTGCCCTCCCAGGCCTAATCATTTCCAGGCTCTGCAGCTCACAAACGACTGGAGGGGAGGCCAAACACCCACTAACCTCATGTTAAAGAGATGTCGGCATCAATGGGCCTGTCATAGCACTCCGCAGACAAGACAAATCAGCACAATATCCTTCCTCTTCATATGCTATTAGACGTTCTATAAGAGGATTGAATTGGAGAGTTCGGTATTACTCTCTGCTGTGTTTTTTAAATTGAATAGGTTTTCCTGGTACGATGTCAGTCATTTGAAGTGTCTTTGCGACATTGGGAGGGTGTCCTCGGTTCATCCCGGCTCTTGAGGCCTTCTTGAGAAATCCCTTGTGAATGAGAAATCCCTCCACTGCTGTTGCCTACAGCCAGCTTAGCTTCCCTATGCCTCACGAAAAAGAGAAAAGCACCAGTCCCATTGCCACGCTAAATTTACCTAAGTTAGCTGTAATGCAGCATTGGTGGAAAAGTTTACTTTATACTATTTTTTTCTCTCGGTGTCCAATTTCACCTTTTCCTGTGTGGTTCCTGCCCCCGAGACTTGCCCAGGTTAAACAGCGGGCACATGATGGCCCGGGTCAGGGGGTGAGGGCTTTGTGATGAGGGGATGGTAGGATGAAAAGGTTTGGTTGCCTCTATGTCTCATAATCAACCCCAAGCTTCCTTCCTGTTCTTGTTCCCAAAGGCATGCTGGGAAACCAACTTTTTTTTCTTACCACGGTTTCCTTTGTTTAACACCTGTAGTTAGACCAGATGGACTGCCAATGATGAAAGGAATGAAGGAATCGGAGCGCACTTTTGATGACAAAGCCATCATCAACCGCTCAAAACAAGTGAGATAAGCAAATTCGTAACAAATGGTTTACTGCTGTACCATTCCCTTTCTCTCATATAAGTTAGTCACGAAACATGTTCGGTAGAGTAGTTGTTGCTGCTGTCAAGCCATATTTAGCATGAAAGTTTCTTATTCCTAATAAACTGAGATCTTCTCTACATGAATACTGTCTCTGACGTGTGCAAAATGGAGTTGCTCAAATTTGGAAACAAGGCGGATAATGTCACAGATTTAGTTCTGTTGATGACAGGCTTGCTAGGATTATCAGGATACACACATTATGGCATTGTTTGGTTCTTGAGGCTGCTTTATAAAAAAGAGACAAATCACAAAGTATGCCAAGCATCAGCTATTGGTTATTCTAATCATTAGGTGCACATGCATTACCTATTTATATCAGAAACTAGTAAGAAGTTTGCCAAACTCAGACTAGAGTGGTTGAATAGACCATAACTAGGCTTGCCATAGGAAAAAGTATCTTGAAGGTTTAAATATGAGCTTTCCTCTTTACAAATCTTACCCCCATATCTGTTTGGTAGCAGGCCTTTTAGTCAAAAGGTGAGCTGAGAGCCAGAGGGAGAGAGAGGAAGCAAAAGTGAACTGTGTTTGTCAGCTTTTTAAACCCTGAAATTGATTCTTCTTCTGCGCTCTTTATTCTAATGACAAGCTAATCCCCCTCTCCTGTTTCCCTCCGTTATAAATAGAGCCTCTTATTTCCCCGCTCCGCCGTGCGCTGCTTCGGGAAAATTAGCACTCATGATGAGTCTGCGCTCTCGGCAATCAATTTGCCACACTAAGTCCCTCCAAAAAGGTTACCTGTGGCAACTGAGTCCCGGTCACGTAAGTTTGAATTCGCCTCTCCTGCCACTTACAATTCAGCTAGTTAAATAAATGGCTCCGTCTGGAGAGTCAGCTGAATGAAATGTCAAAATATTGATGTGCGTGATTTTATGGCGTTTGTCACAGGGAGAGGAGGGTGCTTGGTGCAGTTGGTGCATGGGATAAGGGGGCGTGTCTGCCGTAGGCCTACTATAATGATATTAGTAGAGATCTGCTTATTTATGAGGCTGTAAGTTATTCATGCTCAGAGCTGACTATCCATCACAGCTAGGTTGGCTAATTGTAGCCTGCAACAATCATAGAGTATCTGATAATCAAACTCTTTGTTCACCTTAATATCTAGCTATTTGAATCTTAATGCAGGATTAAAATGCTGTTGATATGCCTGCCAGTTCCACTTTTGAAGTTCTGCGAAGCAAAAGGAATGTTTTTTTATTCTTTCTTCACTCTCCTTGTCTCTTACTCTGAGGTGTGGGGGAACACTGCGTACTGTTTTTGATGTAGTAGTTCTCTCTGATTTCACCACCCACATACCTACTCTGCTGACTATGTCTATAAGTGAATGGTTTGTTTTAAATGTCCAAAGTGAAATGCGCTGCAAAAGTCCCCCCGTCACAGCGTCCCCAATCGCTCTCAGAAAACCCCGGGTTATGGTGTGTCTTTGTAGTTTCAAAGCAACGGTGGCACAGAAAACTCAAACAGAACTGCTTGTTAGAAGTTCCCTCACAACTTTGTGGAGTCAAAATTAGGCTGGATGTTTCCCTTAATTACTGAACATTTCCAAAACAGACAATAACACATTCCCATTTACAATTCTGACATCTCACCCCTCTGTGAAGCCTGGCTGTACCCCCTGACATGGTCAAAGGACACATCATATGGACTTGTTCTTTTCAAGTCTACCCTGAGCTTAAGGGCCCCCACTCGTATGCAGACTCTCTTCAAAGAAATTCATGGTGTACTTGGTTGTAAACAGAAAAATAAACCCCATTGCTATGCTATGTCATCAGGCCATGTGCTGTCTTTTACTTTTTTATGCCGTGCTCCTTTTCGGTCTGCATGCTATTTTTTGCCCAGACTTCACATGTTTGAACAGAGTCTTACCCAATATAGACTTTCAATGACTCTTACTGTGAAACATATAAATGCCGTGAGGAAAACTGAACTTTAGTTTCATATTGAAGTGTATTTTACAAAGAAAACATCATTATTACTTTCAGAAATTCTTGTCACGAAGAAATCCCTTTGCAGGTATACAAAAAATAACACACTACATGTTCTGCTAATTGAATTAGCCTAGATTATGTTTTTCAACAATCCTGCATACAATTTGTTGTCACAACTCAACTGTAATAGAATCTAGGCTGTTTACCCCTTTAGCACGTTCTGAGAATACAAACAACATCAACAGACCAGAGGAAAATCAAATGTTGAGGTCATGCAAATGTTTCAATCCTGTTTTTGAAAAGTCATGAGAAAGCTTTGTAGTAAGGTAAACTCGATTGAAGTGAAATAATGTATACATCTAATTTGCATATGATATTTTTCTCTATTTGACAGCACAAGTACATTTGTTGTTGAATGTTCCTCTGATTAATGTGAAGCCCCGGTGTTACAAATTAAACCACAAAATACATCCATGTAATTGTATCGGGCGCACACACACCACCTTATTGTGTGTGTTTGTTCGCTCCTGTGGGTGCCCGGGCAGGTCTGCGGTGTGTCTGGCAGGCCGAGGGCATCTCTGGGTTGCTCTGATAGTGCTTGTTCCTTTGAGGCTCTAACATGCTGTGGATAACGACACCAGCCTCGTCCAGAGTCTGATCTCAGGCCAGCGAGACACCATCCAACGTTACAGCTGCCAGGACCTAGGCAGAATAAAGATGTTTGATTGGGTGAGCACATCATCAGACGTGTAACACAGTTTTGATAGCTGATAGCACTAGTCCTCCCTGAACTAGCTCTCTGCTGGCACACAACGATGCCTGGATGCACCCTCGGAGAATCAGCCCACCCCTCTTGTCTCCCTCGTCTCCCCTTGATCTACCTCAACTGGCTCCTCTCCCCCCACGGTTCTCCTCTGTTCTTTCTGTGCCTCTCCCCCTGAAACAGTCTTTCTTCTTTGCCTTCTCCCCTCCCAGTTCCTCGTCAGATCCACAGGGCCAGATTTTTATCGCTTCTCTGCGAGTCCTGCAAGGGGAACCTTGAGGGTCTCAGTGGGATCAATTTAAAAGGGAAGCGCTTGTCTCTCCTCCTCTCCTTGGCCCTCTCGGCTGATTGGGTCCTCTCGCCAGGAACTTGCAGGCTTTTGATCTCAAAGCCGCCCCCACCCACCCCTGCCTGAAGTTTTTGTCGGAGCTTGGCTCTAAAAAAAAAAAATCTGTTCCACTTTCTGAGAAATGTGGGCCCCATCCCGTTTTCTCTGCACCAGTGAGAGACCGAGGAAAAGTTTTGTAAACCCACTGGGTGGTACTAACAATCTATGGCGTGATTGACTTCTCTTTGAAGATGTGAGAGCGATCCGTCTCTTCAGGTGGAGGTACACCAAAGAGGACTTGTGCTCCTCGGGCAGCTTGATTGAACAACTGGGGAGAAAGTTTCTGGGATGCATAATTCACACCGTGTGGGGAACGGCCCTCTCTGCTAAAAGAGGAGAAAGGTACAAGGTGGTGCCTGGGAGCGTTCCCATGCTGAGCTCTGTTAAAGTCGCTCCTTCCTTTTGTGCGACATCAAGTAACGGTGACCTGCAGTAAAAAGGGACAACATTACAAAAAACTATCAGGAAGCACTGTGTCCAGCTTATTTTTGAAAACCGAGGACCCCTTTTAAGGATTATCCGGGTTCATTAAAACCTGAGTCTTGTTTTATTAGTTTAAGCTTTAGTATTAAGAGGTTTTGATGACGTTGTATTTTAAGTAAATGCTGAGAACTGGTAACACGGTAACACTGCTGACAGTTTTTCGGGACAAGAAACATATGCACGCAAATTCTGAATGTTAGGGCTACACAATATATCGTTGTTGCATCAACATTGCAATTTTTGCATATAATATTATCATTTGTGTATATACCCTTAATCGTCCCACAGAGGGGACATTTACATTCTGCATTTTACCCATCCTAGTGTTAGGAGCAGTGGGCTGCCATTATGTACAGCGCCCGAACAGCAGTGTAGGGAACGGTGCCTTGCTCAGTGACACCTCGGTGGCAATGAGTCTTTGGGGTTAAACTGGGGACCTTTCGGTTCCCAAGCCAAGTCCCAAGCCCCCCACTAGCTCACAGCTCAGGACGATATGCGATGTCAGCATATTAACCAGTCATGCTTAAACCTTTTTCTGCGTCCTACAGTCTAGGTAGGCCCACATTGTTGGGCCCGAGTTTATTAAGGGAATTCAACTTCGAACAGTTGGCCACTATGGGATGATCTTCTCCAGCGCTTTTTCTTTGTGTTGTGCCGCAACCTCTGTCAGCTGGGAAAAGGCCCAGAATGAAAAATGGCCGGTGAATTTAACCTCACGAGCACCTTCTCCCGGATCGAACCGCTTCCTGGGACGGAGGACTTGGGATCGCTTTGCCCTCTGTCCTTGAAGGAAGGGACGAGTCTCACGGCATGACTGTCACCTGGGGACACAAGGCTTACCTCAATGTCTACCAAAACTTCCTGAGGCCTTTTGATTATGTAAATGTGTTGTATAATAAAACTGGTTTTCTAAGGATTAGGCAGTGGAAACACTCTTTCAGTGTTTGGACAGGAGCCAGACCACTCCACCTCCTCTCCCTTCTATGTCTCCTGCCAGGTCACTGGAGGTCAAATAAGAGTTTTTCTTGTCCTACCTTACTGACCTCTTTGTCTCCTGGGAAAACTCTAGTCACGACTACGGATTAAAATTCTTGGTATAGTTAGCCAAACCTGTCCACAGGTTTTGTGCTTTTGTTTTTCCAGTCCATCAAAAATAACATCTCCTTATTGCTTGCCAGCTCGATAGAATAAACAACTTTTTTTCACTACTGAGCTGATCAGAGAGGACCTGAAAGTTTGAGGTGGTTTGGTTTCATGCATCTTCTTGCTATAAAGCAAAGCACCCCTTATTTTCAGGGCTCTTGGGTCCCTAGGTGCTGACATCATCGGTGTAGTTGTGCACTAATTGAGGTTTAATGCTAGAGTAGAGCGAGCAGGGCTGTAATTTTCCCGCCCCGGCCTGGAATAGAGACGACAGCTTTTCATGTGGTCCGGGCTAATTTAGGTTGCAGTGCTGCAGCTGTGGGACACCTCACACTTTTGTCCTTCTTAGTCTGCTTAGAAATAACAAAATATATGGAAAAAACAGCTTGTTAAGAAAGTAATTTAAAGGACTTTTGCCATGCCCAAAGCCATATGGTTGCTAGACATTAGAAAGATTCTGTACATCAAAACACTGACCTGGCAGTTGGACTTAAAAATGTTTTGGTAATATTTTTTCCATTGCCTTCCTATTGCAAAACCACCAACATTCCTAAAGTAGGCATAAGCTTTCAGGAAAGAAATCCATCCCCGCCACCTCTGCCTTGAAACTTCGAATGTAAAGCAACACAATGTGGTTTATATAGGCTTACGTAGGTGGAGGAGGAGCATGAGGTAGAAGCAGCTGTAATATGCAGATGGAATTCTATGTGTCATTATGATTGTATGTCCACAGAGCCTGGGCGTAATGACATTCATCCTCCCATGCAGGCAAACAAACAAGCACGCATGCACACCGACGCAAGCACAGAGCTCTACCTGCTCTTTATCCCATCCGCCTTATCAGGGCCTGTGTAAACATCAGGCCTGTTTGAAGTGGAAAGCTTTAATCACAAGTGTAATCATTGACATTGCTTTGTGGTTACTGGACTCGAAGAGGCGGGGGGGGGATACCATCACGTCATAAACATATACCTGATACTTTTATAACCGCTTTATGTGACTGCTAATACTGAAACCGACATATGAAGACATTTTGAATTCCCCATCCCTCGTCTTAAATATTGCAGGGGACGGCAAAAGTGAGTAATATGTGAGTGAAACTTTTTACGGTTGAGAATGTTAAGTTGTGTAAAAAAAAAAGCGTTCATACATCAATTAAACTTCACTCTGTGGGAGGACTCATCAAACACTCCAGTAGTAGATAACGTTTAAACTTGACTGCCTTAAGTTTGCGATTATCTAGAATTCTAGATGATAACATCATTCGTGCCATGATTACTTAAGATATATTATAGGTATTGCAGAAGGCTTTCCAAATTCTTTAAAAATTACCCTGTGATTTATCTGCAAACAGTAAATATAAACATGCAAGTTAGTTAGTTAATGAGATGTTTTATGACATAGAGATGTCCCAGCATATGCAAAATCAAATTGCATCATGAGGATTACCTAGTACATGGTTGTAAAGGTATTTGTGTTTCATCATTTAAACCACTGAATTGTCCAACGTGCGAACCCTTGGAGCTAATCCCACTGAGAAATGTGATGAAACAGCGCACAGTGGCACATGCACAAACTCAAACAGAAGCTTTTTGACAGCAGGATGCTGTGATCCGCCCTCATACGGAGGAGTTTGCGAGGGGAAAATGAAAATAAGCAGTAGATGTCATTGTACATTTTGTATCAGTGCTTCGGTAATGTACAGTGGCCTCGGGGTGTGATTTGGAAATGAAGGAGCGTTTTGCGATTAACTCTCAGCACATGTGCACACACACACACACACACACACACACACACACACACACACACAGACACACACAAACAGGATTAACAGCCTTAACAGCCCCAGGAAGGCAGCGGCTGTAACAACAACAAAATAAATAATAATACAATAAAAATAGTGCAAATCAAACGGTACGATACATTTGTATAAAATAGTGCAGGTGGAAGAACAGAATGTAAGGTTAAATATTGTACAGTGAAATACAAGTTAAAGGTCCCCTACTATACTGTTTATCATCAATATATTATAGGTCTCAGATATATCCAGAGCCTGTCTCTGATTGGCTGAAACACCAAACAGATCATTGTAGCATTACCCATAATCCCCTCTGNAATGAAAATAAGCAGTAGATGTCATTGTACATTTTGTATCAGTGCTTCGGTAATGTACAGTGGCCTCGGGGTGTGATTTGGAAATGAAGGAGCGTTTTGCGATTAACTCTCAGCACATGTGCACACACACACACACACACACACACACACACACACACACACACACACACACACACACACACACACACACACACACACACACACACACACACACACACTGATCCCATTGTACCAGTCGGGTCTAGCTAGCCTCTGCTTGGGCCAAAGCCTGTTAACTCCAATTCAGAGCGTGGAGGCTGGTAATGAGCACTGTCAGAGTTGACATAACAACCTCCCGCTCTGGGGTGAAACACTGGAGTCAGACTTGGAGAGAGAAAGAAGAGAGAAAGAGAGAGAGAGAGAGAGAAAGCTAGCAGGTTCTGTTGGTGCTATAGGTTAATCCTGGGAAATCTGCAAATTAACCGTTTGAGTTCCCACTCATATTCAGCTTTGTTTTGGTACTTGTTTGGTATTGGAACGTTTCGGTTGGCGGTCAGAGCCATGGACTTTTATGTATAAATGCCCTTTCCTTACAATATACCTTCACTCTAATGAGTTAACAAAGATCCCCTATTCAAAAAAACAATGGTGCTCTAGGAGGAGATTCAGGAGATGAGGTGGGCGGGTGTCACCTCGGTTGGTTATCGGCTAATGGTTACACAACCCCGAAAAACATTATGACACCACAACGTGGCCAAAATCTGATCAGCTCATTTTCAGACAGGTTTTTATATAAATGGATCAGGACATAAGGTGAGAGAGAATATTTGTTATGAAGCTTTCAGAGTCTCTTTACACAGAGGGGACACATGTTTATGTATAAAAGATGTGAAAAAGTGGATTTTACATAATAGGTGACCTTTAACTCTGACTTATAGTGGATAGATTTTCTTGAATTCCCGGCAGTATCTCAGTCTGTAGGGACTTGACTTCTAGTCCCACAATGATCTAAATACGGCGTGTAGACTGATACCTGGATTGCGACCAATTCCCTTTTGTCACCTGCCGAGGTGCCCTTGATCAAGAAACCAGAACCCCCATTGCTACTGAGTCAATGTATATACAATAGTTGCCCTAATAAACACTGCTCCCTATACCAAGATGTGTGTTTGGTGCAATGTGTGTCAATCAAAAGTCAATTTAATTCCCCCATTTCCATTCTGTACTTTGAAGCTTAATACTTAAGGACCATCATAGTTTTCAATTAGGAATTAGGGTATTATAATGCAGTTTGGTTTCTCACTTTGCTTGGTTGAAAGCAACGCATTGCTCAGTTTGCCCTTAATGTGATCTTTAATATTTAAATGGAAGTTGTGTGCATAACTTCAGAATAATTTAAATGATTGTACACCCTAATTCACCTTGAATAAATGTTTTCTTCGCCGTTCCATGAATAATAGAGATAGGAAAATAATACAGTTACATCCCAGGAGCATGGAATACGTCATTATACACACTTTAAGTGCTCTGTGTTTTTGTCCTCAAGGTTAATATCCAGAACAGTTGTTTTCCTCATGATAAGCATTTTTCTATGTGTCCCCATCCCTGCTCATTAGAATCCGCTTGTTTAGGGTGGATGACTTGCTGTGTTGTCTGATTTGAGTTCAGGCAGCACAAAGACAAGCTCCTGCTTTCCAGCATGGCGTGTCCCGGCCTCCCGTTTCTCAATAATTCATCCAGACAACTAGAATGATTATTCTATGAATATGCACTAAAAACCCCTTTCTTGTGCTCCTTCTCTCCAAGTTTGTGCATGTCAGTGTGTGCTCAAGTGTGTGTACATGTGGGCAAATGAGTAGCTGTGTGTATGCAGCTCCTTTCTGCCTGAAACAAAGGAGGTGTCAGGGCGAATTAGGCCCCCTACCACTGAACGCCCAGAGAGCTTAGAGATGCACCACAGGTTCTGCTGAGTCGCACATGAGCCACGGTGTCTGCCTCTTCCCCTCTGCTTCCCCCCGCTTTGCCCCCCGCACTCGCCCCCTCTCCACTCCTGAGTTGCTCTAACAAGGTTGTTGGAAGAGGATAAGGCGTGTTAAATGAATAATTTACACAGAAGAGCGCTCCTTATTTATTTAATACAGCTGGATCTGACTGAGTGGGCAGCCCGGGTCCCAAACTGCCAAGACACTGGCTAAATGAACGCTTTCGTTCGGTTTAATGGAAGGCCAAAGCGACAGGCATTTAGAGAGAGCAAGTGGGAGCATGATAGACTTTGTAAGTTGTGTGTGTATGTGCTTGTTAAACAGGCCATGCAGAGCTGCGCTAGTGTGCAAATCTTGTCCCTGCTGTATGTACTCTGTCGTCGCACCATGTTACTCTTCATACCTTGATGCAGACAGATCACATGAGACCTTTCACCCATTTCAAAAATGCTCCCAGGAATGTATGGAATACTGCTCTGACGTATGCCTGGAAGAAATAATTACAAAGCATGTTTTTTGTGCTAGTTTAGCGACCCCCACATAGACGCTAAATCATATAAACTGATACATTATTAAATACAATCATATCATTAACTTTATCATACTAAGTTTAATATATTGAAAAACCAATACATTATTCAATTATTGTATAAATTATTCAAACATTTATCAACCTATCAATTTTGAAATCATTTTAAGAAATATGTTTTTATTTAATAATTGTATATTTCACATAGATATGTCACAATGTGCCCGCCTCTATAGCTTTCAGCAAATCATTTTGGCCCTAAATAATTGATATCAGTCTATCTAGATGAATGCGTATACAGCCAGGGAAAAATATGTGTACTGTGTTTTGTTTGTTTAAAGCAGCAGTTTCTAATTTTTGGATTCAGATATACTTATGCATGGTTGTTGCTAGATCTAAAAACTAAAATGACGGGGGCGGGCCCTAGTTTCAACACCACTAATGAAAAGTGATATTATGATTTGTCTTACTCGGAAAGAATACGTTTTTAAAAAAAAAATGTTTTGAAATTAACATAAGAGTTGCCCTTTTCATCTATTTTCTACTACTTATTTTAAATGATAATTGTCTATGTTTTTACAGGGGGAGTGTGGAGAGGGGGGGACAGGACCATTACCCGGGCACCACCCAGAAAGAGAAGGAGCGAGGGAGCAGCTGAGGAAGGAGGATCATCCAATCGGTAAACACGTCTTGTTTTGATATCGGGATACAATGGGGTGCTCATAGTAGCACTGTTTTCTGTCATGATGTTTGCAAAATGTACAGGATGCAAGACAAGGAGGGAGAAAATCAGCTCAGACAAAATCAGGCTATGATCAAAATCCTTTAAATCCTCTCTCTGACATCTGGGTTTGTCTGTTCTCGCCTAGTGTCCTCATCCTTCTCATATTCCTCTTCTTATTCCTCCTGTAGACGGAGGCAGTCCCACTGAGCAGGACACAGTTCGTGTATGTGTGAGTGTGTCTTTCCCAAGAGAATGAAATCCCACAGCTCACACTGACCTCATTATAAAAATAGCACATCTATCCAGCCATCACATTTCCCTCCATTTCCCCTCTCCTCCGCAATCTCTTAGATATATATAGTGATCCTCTCTACCTTCCACTCTCTGTCTCTCCATCAGTGTTTGCGCTGGATTTAATGTGAGATTAAAAGCTTTACGCAAGACTTTGTAACAGCAAGGTTTCCCCCTGCACCTGTCATTACCAATCTGGCCATAATCTGGGATCAGAAGATGTCTTTTAATCATGAAACATCTCAGAGTATATTAAAGGCGGTGTTTACACAACCTGTTAATGTTGTCTCTTGCTAAGGTAGACATTTTCCTCTCTTGTTCCGGGTCCACTGCCCCTCTTCACCTTCTCTCCCAGCGGTGCGAGATCACCTCCCATTAGACTGAACAGCGCTCAGCTCTGGTTAATTTAACAGCAGCATCAGTGATCATTACGGTCCAAAGCTGGCTTTGATCCTGCCAGACTGCATTTCCTACGGTTTTAATAACCCCACAAAGACACCTTAGCAGATGCTCAATTCTAGGCATCTAGACAAAGACGGAGACAGGCCGAAATGAAGGATTCACCAAATGGGAATTTCTTTGAAAGATTGAAAACAAACTCGATTCTGAGGACTTGGTTAAGGTAGAACAAGGTGATGGAGCTAGCATGCTGTTTCTCAGTAAAGCCCTGTTTTACATTCACACATAAACACACAGTCACCCCTGGGAGCTGTTTATACAAGCGAAGCACTGTTGGCCACTGAGCCACTCCGCTGGAGCAGCTCGGGGTACTGAAGATCTGCCGAAATAATAATTAGAATGCAGATGATTATAAATAACAGTAATTGTTTCACAGTTCCATGAGTTTAAAGTGTGCAACTATAGTGATTGCAAAGGAGGGGAGTGTGTAGAATGAAACATTGGCTTATAAGTCAGGGGGACATGGAACCGAGATTGGTCACATCATTCTTAGGACAGTGTTACTACATAACCTGTCTGAGTGAGTATTATGGCTTTAATTGAATTTGATAATTGAATTGTCTTTCAATTTAGTTTTTTCAAGAGGAAGTCATATTTTGAGTTGTGATACATGTGTCGTTGTCTACATTTCTAATAATTAATACAAGCACTTTCAAACTGAAATTTCTCAGAAAATCTGCTTTCATTATAAATATAATTTCAAGATAGTATCAAACGTAAATGTACAATGTCCTTTATAAACTAGAATTATGTTTATTAAAACTATTCTTACAGTTACCTTGAAACTATTCATTAGCACTACAACTATAAATTCAATGAGAAAATATGTATTACTTTTTATTTGTTCAGTATTTAATTGACATAAGACTGTGGCTTTATGACGTGGTTGTTTCATATACAGTTTTTGGAATTTCAAGAAAACATGCTATATTTTGTCTCGGTTTACATGACATGTTACTTGTTAGACGCTTTTATCCAAAGCGACTTCCATACTCAATACTGTGGACAATCCCCACAGGAGCACTTTGCTTTGAAGTGTCTCAGGGACACAACGACATGCTGACTGCAGTGGGGTTTGAACCTGTGCTCCCCTGATCCCAACACCAACGCACTAGTCCACTGCCACACAGCATACAGTTATATATGAAAATAACTACATTAAGATAGAAGATATGTATGTATGTGTATTTCGCCCAGACTTGGTGAGTATCATTAGCTGCTGCACACTCATATGTACAACCACTACAAGTTATTGGGTCTATTAAATGGACCTGGATTGTATTTGATCTGTCATCAAGTCTTTTGGAGCAAGTCTAGGTCAAGTCTTTGAGGGCAGCATCAAGTTTCAAGTCAGCAAAGGATATTCCAAGTCTCATGTCTGCACTTCTGTTATGTCACATAAGGTGTAGCTCATGATTTACTTCAAAAGCATTGAGGTGCAACTGATCTCAATAGAAGTTCTATTTTTGCTTTGACGGTGTAGAGTTACAACAAGCTACCCCCAAGTGTCAGCAGTTGTTTGTGTTCACCTCTCCTTTGTAACATTACCTTCTCACCTGCATATCCAGCAGCTTATTCCCCCCGGAAAGGCCAGCTTATGTTAAATAAGAACAAGCTGCCTCACATTGACCTGCTTTTAGAAGCCCAGGCTCACCTCAACAGGAGAAGAAACCGTCGGGATCATCTGCATATTCCTTTGATCTCATACCAGGAGCAGCCGTCATTAAGGAAGTTCGCATGACTTTCCCTCTTCCCCTCATCGTGGCTGAAGCTCCATCACGTGCCCCTTTTTCGCTTCTAGTGCCCTTCACTCCATCGCAACCCCTTCAAAGTTCTCTACCCTTCGTTTCAAAGCCGCCCTAACTTGGCTTGAAAGCCAAAACCACTCTAGTCTGTCCTTCACCACTAAGCTGATGTGTTTGTGTCTGTGTTGTGTTGCCCTTGGGGTGGGTTACCTCCACCCCCACCCCCTGCATCTCATCTCTTCTCCTCCCCACCTTGCTGTTTATCTGTCTCTGGGCTCGTCACGTCCCTGAACCTGCTCTAATTAGCATCCCACACAACACTGTTTATTTACTCAGGTACCCGGCAGAAGGGAAGGGAGGTGAGAATGAAAGAGCGAGTCGGGAAAAGGGGAGAAAGAGACGGAGAAAGCCAGTGAAGAGCAAGAGAGGGAGGAAGGCCTGGGAACAGGAAGAGAGGGAGAGATGATTCAGAGAATCAAAGAGCTGTGAGACTCTCTCGTAGCGGATGCAGGGGGTAATGATAGTTAGAAAGACACGAGGCAGAAAGTCGAGAAAGTGAGAGACAGAGAACTTTCCCGCCTCTCCACGCCTCCTCTCTGCCTTTTCCAGCGTTTCATCTGAGATGCAGAGTGCCTAAAATTAGCAAGCTGGCAGCTTCCTTCCTTCCAGGGCCCCCATTAAAGTTCTCCCATTGCGTTGAGTGATCATTAAGGTGGGACCGGGAACGCAGGTGTTATCTTAGTGTCCCAGTCGAGGTTGCAGTGGCATCACTTTTCCTCGACAGGGTGTACAGGGACAAAAAATATTTGCAGTCCTTGTCTGGGGAGTTTTGAAGGTTTACTTTCGTGTATATGTTTATCACACTGCATGTCTGTCAGTAGGGATGGAAGAGCAGATTAATAAATCAGGGAAGTAGCAAGAAAGAAAGAAAGAAGGGTGTTGGATAGAAATGGACAGGTCAGGTTGTTTGCTTCCGCACTGGATGTAACATCTTTGATTTCTTTAGATATTATCTGATTAATAAGGGCAAGATATATCAAATAAGTGTTTTGTGTGCAGTACCTGTTGTGTTGACGCTTCGTAATGAAAGCCCCATGTCCTACTTTGTGTTTTATGTCCAATTTCAAGCATTTTTGATGACCATTCCAGTTTTAAGGTTTTATTATGCTTTAAGAGAATGTTCAAACTGTTTTTTTGTTTGTGTAATCACATCTAAAGGCAGAGGTCTTTACTTCCTGCTTTCATGAATAGCTGTATAACTGGGCTGCCTTTTTGATAGCCTTTCCTCGAAGGCATCCATTGTGTTGCATCTGTTCGCACAAATAGTGATGGATGTAGTTTTGTGAAGAATTAAACTGCGTTCATACATCCGTGACTCTGTTAAATGTTTAGATCTCTTTTGAAAAGTCACACAACTTGTCAGATGACTTTCTTACTTTCTAGATAGAAAGGGAGGATAGGCTCTGTTACATGATTGCATATCTCCCCAATTATGAATTTGTCAATAATGTCAATAATTGTCAATCAATTTGTTGTTCCGTTTTGATGATTTGTTGCTTGTCTTTGTGACCAAAACTCATACTCACCTGGTGGTCAAACTGAATTTCTATTTGGTATTCTCTTGTCCAGCTGGAATGGGAACATGGCTTCGATGTTTAGGGTCACGCCTTTAGAAGGGTGACCAGTAGGTCAACACTGTAAATCTGCTGCTTAAACCAGGTTCATTATTTTTCTATAGAAATGCCATTCTACACCATGTCAAGATGTATAGACGTGTATCCTATATTTAATGGGAAATCTGTCTACTGGTAACTAACAAACCAGGACAAATAGTTGTTTTTCCTGTTCCACTCTACCTCTACAGTACATCAGACTGAGGTCACCATGTTTTTATCTGCTTTGGCATTGGAACACAAGGTTACCTTGTATGTCATGCATCCACCAGTTTCCGCTTTTGCACTTCTGTAGCAATCTTACCAGCATATCGTCATTTCCTGCCTTGTTCCTGTTGGTCACTCAGCAAAATGTACTTGAAGCAACTTCCTGTTATCAGTGACTCTGCACATTTCTGAAACAAAATATTTCACTCTGCCAGTGCTTTTTCACGGATGTTAATTCAGCAGCATTTTAAACTGCTATTTTTCTCTTGCTCTCACACTGAGTGATGGGATAGTAAAAGGTTCCGAAATATCCCTTCTGCACGACGGTTTGATTGTGGGAATTCTCAGCAGTTGATGTTTATCTTCCCTACATATTCCCAAGCACATCAGTTGTCACCTCCCTCCACTGACAGCCCTCATTCCTCTCCTCTTTCAATTTTCTTCTCCTGCAACTCCCTTGCCTTTTTCCACCACTCTTTAGTCCTGTTTGACCTATTCAGAAGGGTCCAAATGTCACGGCAGAGGGAAAGGTCAGGTAAAAGGTTTTATGTTGAGCATGGCTAACACAGTGCTGGCTGCCTGAGGGGGGGGGGGGCCCGTTAACACTTGAGACCTTGAACACACACGTCTGCACGCACTTGGACACACTGCTGTCACCTCGGCTCCACGTCGACGCCACTCAGCTCCGAGCCGGCAGCCATGTCATCTGTGCGCATGTGACTGCGAGTGTCTTATGCTCATTTGGTTCATCTGTGAGCATGGATGATTGAAGACGTTACAGCTTCCCGGGGATGACACATGGCCTTGTTGGACATCGGGTCAAAGGTCATTGGTTTCAGGGGTTTACAGCATCCTGCCTTCAAAGGGCATTGCCTTGTTTTTATTGAGGGTCTAGCCTGTATGTAGTGACCACTTATTCTGAATCCTTTAAACCCTGGAGGGATGTAGTTTCTGCCTTACTTTTGAACATTTGTACCAGCTTAAGATACAAAAAGAAGTGATGAGTGAATTCATTTGCTCATTTCTAAGATGCAAGTCGATGAAAGTAAATCATCTGGAGTCTCAGTAAAGCGTATTCTCTTAGAGGAACGGCAGGTTAGCGGTGGGATTTCTATATCGATTCATCTACATCCACATGCAGGGCAGAGCAGCGGGATCCTAATTGGAATGGATTTCTCCGTTGCATTGATTTACTCAGGTGACAGTGGATGACATACGGTTGTGTGTGTGTGTGTGTGTGTGTGTGTGTTGAATACCATATGATGCTGTAATGTTTGTTTTTTGCAAACCTTTCAATGCTGGTTTTCGGGGTGAAAAGGCAATAGGAGCAGCTACCAAAAAGTCATTGTGTGTGTTTCTGCGTGGTGTGTGTTCACCTTTTGTCCGAATCCTTGGCCTTCTCATTCAGCAGAGCTCTGGGATGAAACAAGGACCTCTGCAAACACTGATTTCATTTTCTCCATGACTGCCTTCGCTTCAGACCCTGCTCTCACACACACACACACACACACACACACACACACACACACACACACACACACCCCTACTTCATTCCAGACCCCCTCCATCTCCAGGCTCTATCTCAGGGTCCCAGATGAGCATTGCTCTCACCTACAAGGGAGATAACAAACCTCACACTACTCTGCTCCCCGCTCTGCGTTCCTCAAAACACTTCACATTTGATTTTTTTTTTCAAACCAACCACAAGAGAAACTACTTCCCTTTCCCTATTGTGGGAGAAAAATGCAGCCACTGCAGTTTAAACAGTAGCTGGCCATAAGCAAGACAAAACAGAGTCAGATAAAGCAGCAGGGATGCTACCAAAACACAGCACTCTCCATGTTTTGACATTTCACAGAGCACTGCTTTCCCCTCTCAATAAATTGCATTACTGGTGAACAATAAGCAGGTTGTTTTGTTGGTCAGCTCATCAGTTTTGGCTAGACATGTGACTCGGGTCCAGGTTTGATGATGTGAGCTGTGTTTGTAGTTGTGGAGTTCACTTCATACCATTCCATTCCAGGTGGATGCCTGGCCCGTCCCAACACTGCCCTCCTGCTCAACCCTGACCTGTTTCCAGCATAAACAGCAGATCCTCACCTCTCACCCCTGTGGCTTTACCTGATAATCTGTCTCTGTGGATCGCCCCCACCGTTGTTTCTTCTTCTCTTTCTCACTCAGCCTCAAATTCTCCCCGCAAACCAGGTTTTTGCGTCACCCTAGCCCCGACCTCTGACCCCAGTCAGATTAGAGTGGTTGGCGTTTCAAATCCAGCAGCAGATTGAGTAGCATCTGTGACCTCCTTGTGCTTTTCTTCCCTTGCCCCACTGTGTTATACCCTTTAGGAGACACAGGCCCATCAGATCCCAGTACCAATTAGTTAGACACAGGTTTGCAATGGAGGGCACTTTCAGGCAATGAAACAGTAACTTGGTTAATGGGTTAATGCTAGTGACCTCTGAGACATGTAGGACAATGTACTATTGATAAATTGCAATGGTTTGAAACCCTTTGCTTCTAAAAGAATTACCCCTACATTTTTCAGTATATGAATAATCACTCTAGGTTGAATTATAGCCTTTGTTTTGTCTCTGCCTTTACACACTTTGTCACTGCTGAGTCTGGATCACCATGATCAGATGCAGATTTACAGTTCTGGCTTTTAAGCATCTGTCGCGCTCTGGCTGTCGTCCAGACATTTTCTGTCTTTCCTCCACACCTCACTGTGCACAAGGACCACCTCAGGAGAACAGAGAATGATGATGACAGGGCAAGCTGACCGTCACTGGTCTATCCACAATTGAAAAAAGGCTTCCCTTCTTCTACTCTCTCCTTTCTTTTGTTCCCTTGTTCACGCGATCCTCTCCCATGTGCCTGAACTGAAGAAGGAGAGCTGTTAACATACTGATTATGCAGATAGAGCCACACTGAGAGGCATCCTAAAAGGGGAACCAAAGTATGAAAAGAGAGGACTCTCATAGAGAGGAATAATGGAAATAGAAGGTGGAAGGTATCCTTTTCAAATTGTAATATTTGGCAGCCTAGACCAGTGAAGGAGACTTTGTCCATGCCCCATGCTGTATATTAAAGACAACTGTGTGTTGCCTGAGGCTGTGTCTTCATCACAGACTCTCACCTGTTGTATCAGCGTATTTCTAATAGTAGATCTCAGTGTGAGTGCATGTTAAAGCAGTAGCTTCATGGCCTCTGGAAATCAGTGCTAGGGTCAGAATCAGTGACAGATGCAGTGGAAAGCAGCCTTTTCTTACCCCTTTCCATCCCTCTCCTATACACATTTGACCATCTAGCTTGCAACTCCACATTTTTGGTTACCTGGTAAAAGTATGGTCAAATAGTTCCCAGTACATGTTGATTAGGACTCAATTCTTTTAAAGGCATATTTTAATCATCCAAATGTCCTCCAGATCCCTAGTGCCACCAGCATATCAAAGTGAATTCAGTGCAGACATAATGAATACCTACAATATCAGCTGTATTTTGTGTTTATTAGCTAGTATAGCACGCTAACATGCTAAAAGATGATAAATAAATCATATTCTGCCCATCATTATGTTCTGTTGTTGCATATTCCTTCTTCTGTATCTTTCTGTTTCTACTTCCTCCTGCCACATCCTCGTCATGATGGCATCAGTCAATCTGTGCAAACACATCTGTGTACAGAAGCTTGTAGACACAGCAGCGCAGGAGATACGATAGAAACATCAGTTTACATGATCAGATTAGATGTTGGATAACCTTGCTGAAAAAATGTGCCTCGTAATGAGAGAGATTGTTGGGACAGACTGTTTCCGTATCTTCTACCTTCTTAGCATAATGAGGATCAAAGTCAAATGGTCTTCTTGTGTAGTATCAAATGCTTTGATTTTCGTAGAATGTTTGATGCTCTGAAGAAATAAAGTTATCCGACCCTCCACTTCTATTTATATAATTTTCCAGTTGGAATGCGACAATGGGATATATATTAAAGCTGATCTTGTTTTTGTGTGGAGTTACTTGGTGTCAGGTGGCGTCTGCTGGATCATCTGTGACAAAAGGATTATAGGCCTACTGGCTGCTTCTTCAGCTGTTGATACACACCTTTACTCCCCCTCATGTCCGACTGAAAACTTCCACATGGTAGAATGAATCGCCAAGCTTTGCCTCTACCCCAATCTCCCACTTTTCTATAGCCACATAAAATGTCCAGTAGAACGTGCATCCCAGGGTTTTATTCCACTCGGTGTTCAGCCAAAGTCACAGTCAAACTGGAGTCAACTATCCACACAGAGAAGGAATATCTCCAGTTTTATGGAGTCGTAATGCGGTAGGGGTACTGTATAAATAATCTCTCCGCACTGAAACACTTCCAGCTGTTAAACAATATGCCCTTTGCAGTTTTTATTTTCTTTCCTTCTTTTTGAATGTATAAAGTGTCTTGCCCAGACTTCTTTGCAAATGAATACAATGTATTTTTTTATATTGAGACATTCTGTTGTTGAATATTGCCTTTTGTGACACCTCCAGATTGTTGCACTTTATGCTGATTATTATTACAGAGTGGAGTTGGAACGCCTGTATCAAACATGCTGCTATTGAAAGTCGGGCCTTAATGTGAAATTTAAACCTCAGTCTGTTTACGATTAGGCCCTTTGAAGCACTTCTCAGTAATCTCTACCTCCTTTTGATATAAAGATTCAGTATTGATATAAATAAAGGGAATGTTGCCTTTGTTTTTAAAGCAATACCTGTGGCTTTTGATTGATGTATGGAAACTGTACGGTAGATTTATATAATATAGTCTTGTTTAAAACCTCACTATGAGGTTATAGTTTCCCCTTAGACTTCAGCGGTATTTTGTATCAACACAGTCATAATGGCGATCCACAGAGTGGAAAAGCCTTATCCCCGTTGGATAACCATGAAATGTTGTTTGTGAACAAGGGATGATAAAGTAAATTCAGGGCTTTTTTCAGGGGCATCTTCATAGCCTTCGGCCAGGTTGCAGTGCTGGTCAGTGGAGGGGGAGATGAGAGGGGACCCCTCTTCATCTTGTAAAGATCCTGCCGTTGGGCAGCTTTCACGGTCCACTGGCTTATCCTTCCAGGAAGTGAGGGGGGGTATGAGGAGCCCCCCCGCAGAGCCCCAGCATGTACCTTGGCTACATGCTGAGCCGAAATCAAAGGGGGCAGTCTGTCCTTAGCCCGGGGGAGAGTGATTGTGCTGTGTGTGACCAGGGAGACATGGGTAATAGGACAGCTTGTCACACTTGTGCAGATGCTTGTATTTTTGACAGTGTGTTTATACAATGTTGGCTTCTCTCCTGTTGGGTTGAACAGCAATGACATGATCAAAACACTAAGGCCTTGTGCAGTGAGGTTACATTCTCTCTCATGATCTTGCCATCTTTCAGAAGTAACCATCTGAATTATTCCTATTTAGTATGTTAGAACAAATACATTTAAAACAGCAATCATACTGTATTCCCATTTGAGCAGTAGCTGTGGAATCTTGAGGTTAAAGTCAAGGGTTAGAAATGTTTGGAGCAAAAAAGGCTATCTTGTCTCAGAGTTGTATCTAAAAACTAACAACATTCTGTTTCTTTTGTGTTCCAGTTGGTAGCCAGTGAGTCCAGCCCTTCAGATGAAGAGCCTTCAGTTCAGGAGCATCGCCCCTAAGGCCCCGGCCATGGCGCCCTCCCCCTCCCCTGCGGTCCTGTCCTGCCAGCCTCCCTCTGCCCTCCCTGAGGCTGCCACCGCCACTAGCCCCAATTCCATCATTGTGCCCACTCAAAACTATGCACTGATGCAGATAGCAGGTCAAGATGGCACTTTTTCTCTGGTGGCACTTCCCCCTTCTGTCTCCTCTCAGACACCACAGCAACAACAGCAGCAAACTCAAACAAACCCAAAATTGCCCATTCCCAGATACCAGCCAATGAGAAGCAAGGGGACCACAGATAAGGTCAAGTCACCACCACTGGCTGCCAGGGCAAAAACTGTCCCCAAGGTTGCGGCCTCAGCACAATCCATGTCAGCTTCCTGTGGGCCAACAGTTATGAAGATAAAGCAACATGAGCAAACAAAGGATATGGTAGTGCCCAAAGAAGAGCCTTCAGAGCAGGTGATTCTGATTGACCCAGCCTCCTCTGATATCTCCGTCACTGCTCTTCTCCCAGACAATGCAGTCCTGTACCCGGGTTCTCAGTTAGAGCGAGCACCAGATTGCTCTGAACGACCTGCTACAACTAGTCTTATTCAGAACCTCCAGTACCCCCCTACTGCTGTCAAAGGCTCCCCAAGTAAGTCCCTTGAGGAAAGCAAGACCACAATGAGGCTGTGCCAATCTAATTCTGCTGTAGCCCAACCCCAGAGCAGTATCACTGTCCTGTCCTCAGCCATCTTCAGCAAAGCAGTCCAGATAATCCCGTCCCCACCAAAGGGTAAACTGCCCATTCTGCCCTACTCTAAGATGAAGAACAGCCTCATCCCAGCTGCCCAGCTCAGCAACTTGTCTCCAGAGAAGAAGGGTTTCTCTAGCCAGACAGGACTCACCAGCCCCGTAGATCCTACATCCAAGACCCTCGAGACATCTGAAGCCTTGGTTCAGAACCAGGTCCCAAACTCCACTCTTCAGCCCAACTCAAAGACCACACTCATGCCTGTGTTGGGAACCCTGCAGAACCCACCTGGTAAGAAGAGGGGGAGGAAGAGAAAGACAATGGAGGACATCTTGGCATTTGAAGCCAGAAAGAAGAGGTCTTTGTCTTTTTTCCGTGGAAGAGTCCCAGAGAAAGCGCCAGCAGTTGTTCCAGGCTCTAAACAAAAAGAAGTTGATATTTCAAAGAAGTACCGAAGCATAAGACCCAAGCCCATGTTGGTCATGGAGACAGTCCCCCAACTGGTTAGTTTGCCTGCGGTTACTCCAGATGCCCAAGAACAGGAGCTTGTACTCGATCATCAACTCCCTACCACTACAACAAGCAAGACCCTGGACAGTCCTCCCCCAGCAGCCCCAGTGACCCTACAACTGAAAGGTGCTTCGCATACAAGAGTGTTCGTAAGCAGCCGTCCGCTTCACCGGTGCCCTACCTGCAGCCGCTGTTTCCAGTTCAAGCATCACCTCCAGAGCCACATGAACAGTCACACCAACAGCCGGCCCTACGCCTGCCCAGTCTGCCGCAAGGCGTACGCTCACTCTGGAAGCCTGAGCACCCACATGAAGCTTCACCACTCCGAGGTACGCCCACGTCGGTCTCTGTGCTGTGAGTTCTGCGAGAAGTCCTTTGGATATGTCGGGGTTTACTTCAGTCATCTGAGAGAGGTTCACAAGGTGGTGCTGACCGTGGAGCCGTCCATAAGCCATCACGAGGATGACCTGTCAGTAGAGGGGTAAGATTAATATTGATTGAGAACCTACTTAATTGTTGCAGGTTTTATGCAGTGATGGCACAATTTAGAGTGGCTGAATAAACATATTGATTACCCGACTTTTTTTAAACTGTCGTACTAACGTTTTAAATCATCTTCCTCAGGGCCAACTCAGAGCCATCAGATGAGCAGGATCGGGAAGACCCTGTGGAGCTGCAGATAAAATGTGGCCGCTGCCAAGCCATCACTCCCACCTTTGCCGACATGAAGATGCATTTGCTGTATGTGCATGGGGAGGAGATCCAGGTTCCACTTCATGATGGTCAACAACTGCGCGGTGGCCGGGAGGCTGAAAACGAGCTGGTGAAGCACGCTGCCCACTACTGGCGTCAACTCAATGAGAAGCGCAACCTGGTCAAGTGCGGCAGCTGCAACGAGGAGTTTGTCTCCTTCTCCAAACTTAAGAGGCACATCATGTCCCACCACCATGGCCAAGAGGGGGAGGATAGTGTGACCCTCTCTTCACCAGAAGGCGGTGGAGGAAGACTTGGCGTCCTTGCAGCAGGTGCGGCCTTCAACTGCGTGCTTTGCAGCTCGGTGTTGGACACTAAAGACGGAGTTATGGAGCACTGGAGGAGTCGCCACCACTGTGAGCAGCCAAGCCTTCTGTGGGACGCACTGAGCTCCTACTCCGTCCTGGAAGAAGGTGAGGCTGAGGGGGATCTAGACACTCCTGCTCCAAGCCCACACTATCCAGCCTAGTCCTGGATGGGCATGGAGCCCTTTACTGTTACTTCTCACACATACTCAGTCTGAAAAATTAGCTACACAGGGATGGAGAGTTTCTCTTATGACTTTTATCACTAGTTTCATATTTCACCAGTTGGCCCATTTGTCTTGGTCCAGGAGCAAAGAACAGTAATATTAAAATAAATGGTAGGAATTGATCTTTGTGATACAATTCATAAGGTACATTCTCTCAAGGAAAGATAATCCAATTGTTAAACAATATTGTTTTTCATGTTATTTAGATTGCACTGTTTGGTTTCTTGTTTGGAGATGTATGTATTTAGTGTCCCGTTGGATTATTTTGTTCTACTTCTTATTTAATTCGTAATAAAAGGGTAATTATAACATAGCTGACACAGTAATACTGTTAAAGGCTCGACTCACTTAATCTCTGGTATCTAGCCATTCAGAAATATAAATATATATATATATATATACCGTAATTTTCGGACTATAAGGCGCACCTGAATATAAGCAGCAGCAGCGGCATACCACTCTCGGTTCCACTTTTGCGCTCTACCTGTCTCACTCTTTTCCGGCCTCCAGCTTTTCCTGCTGGAACCCGCCGCTTAAAGGTGGGGGTCCGCGGACCGGCCATAGAGCCCATAGAGTTAAAGGTGTTGGCCGTTAGCTGTAAAAATCCATAGATTAGCCGCACCGTTATATAAACCGCAGCGTCGAAAAATAGGGAAAAAGGCGCGGCTTATAGTCCGAAAAGTACGGTATATATATATANTGCTGCTCCACAAACTAGTTAAAGGGGACCTATCATGCAAAATGCACTTATGTACGTCTTTTCTACATGTATATGTGTCCCCGGTGTTCCAGGGAACTCACCAAGTGTCAGAAAACACAACCCTCTCTATTTTCCTCCATACCCAAATCTCTTAAAAAGGGGCTGCAACGGATCTGATACAGACTGATCCAGATTTCAACACTTCTATGACGTCACAGAAGTGGCGCTACGGCTATTGAGCCAACTCCACCAATCAGGAGGAGACAGCCACGGACATTGCTGTTGGAAAGCGCTGGAGACGCTGTAGTACATATGCCAGGCCTGTAGATGGTGCTGTTCTCACAGAATCAGCCCATGCAAAGACAGTGTTAAATTGAGCGAAATGAGGAATGGATAAAATGCATGATCTGTTTGGTATTTTGAAAAATAAAAAGTATAAATATGTCTTATATAGGTATGGTCCTACACTATATCATTCAAATATAGCATGATAGGTCCACTTTAATTAACAAAAGTACTTGGTTGGATTAGGATCATTTTTAGGGTTGGGGTTTGACAAGGCTCAATTAATAAATGCATTGTATTTGCAATTCATTTCTTAATTTCAGATTTTATTCTTGTGAATTTCTTCCTATAGAATCAATAAAGTTATAGATCTCTCTTATCTTATACTACGTGCAACCTTCTTATGAAATGGATTGTCCCCAGAGGATGAATCTTAATGATATAATGACCCGGAGACCTTTCATCTATCACCTGCCTCAGGAAAAACGTTATGGAAAAACAGAAAAGGTTACATTTGTACTCTTACACTATCAGAGCCATCTAGAAGCTAAACGTGTCTACATTTGTTTAGTTTTGGTCTCAAGTTCAAGAACAATTACCTTAATCAGCACAATTACCACACATGGAGTTTTTTTTAAAGCGCACTTCAGTCGACTTTCGATGAACAGATGCCGCTGCTTTTCATTCGGTGTTTCCCTTCATGCATAACTCTCTAGTGTCACACAGTACAACAGAACATTGTGATGGTGCTAAAAGCCCCACCTGTGCACGGCTGTAATCTAAAGTTCACACCGACGCCTGATGATTTGTCGCTCACATAATTACAGGCGAATACGTCACGTGATCGCATCCCGAGGCTCAGCGCAGTTACACTTTAATCTAGTGACTGCCTGTAAAGCTGAGTTATTATTTGTTTACCACATATAACGTGTACATTGATCATGAGTGAGTGAAAGTGCTCTCAAACAGCTCACCTCAGCAGAAAGGAAGCGAGCGACGACCCCCCCCTCCTCGGTGTGTTTTGGTGACAAACTCCCCCGTCATTAACCTCTCTCTGCATTAATAGCAGGGTAATTAGTCCCTCATCCTCAATCCATAATGTTGAGTCAAGAAAGTGACGCTAATTTAGATCTAATTAGGCTTTTTGCAATGCCATTACGCCGCTCTGATGTGCCGGGGAGCTAACGACGGGCCGTGGGTCGTGATGGGAGACGCTGTCGGACTAAACGAGTGACTAAGGCACAAAGGAGGGAGCCACAGTGTGAGGAGGGAAGGGAAACTGCAAGCTAGCACTTCTGTCAGAGGAGAAACAGTCCATCTGTCAGCGAGAGACTGAGGAGACACTGCAGGGACGCTAAAGACCTCGTATACGAGGAGCGAGTACATGCAAAACTGACGACATGCACTGCAAAACTTCTTAAAAGTTAAAACAACCCTGTTTCTGAAAATTATTTTGGTCTAAAAGAGAAGCGTAATCTTGTCAAGCAGCTTGCTTCATTTGAAGTTGAGAAATGGATCTAACTTTGAGGATTTGGTTGAGTTAAAGAGTGTTTATTTTGTTATTAGACAAACTGCTGCCTTTGCTGTACCAATGTACATTTCCAAATTGTTAGACCAATCAAGTAATGACTGTGAGTAATTAAGTTGTGTTTGTTTTATGTCTGTAATTCCAAGTCTAGTCAGGTTTCTATGTAGAGTCAGGTTTTCATGTTACTTCACGTCTTGTCTGTTTATTTTATGTCTGTCATCTCTAGTCAAGTCCCCATGTTTCATGTCATGTCTCGTTTTCCCATTTCCTGTTTTATTTGGAACTTACCTCTTGTCTTTCTTTTCAGACCTTGTTACCTCCTCACTTTGGGTGTTTTCCCGCCATCGTCAGCGTCTGCCCCGCCCCTGATTGTTTCCACCTGTTCCCACTTCCCTCATGTTTAAATAGTCCTTGGCCGTTTCTCAATGTCGAGGAAACTGGCTTCCAAGCCAATATTTCAAGGATACTACGTCATCGAGTGCCGCCGAAGGACTGTTCCAATCTCCAGCATACTTGGAATTCCACCGAGGCCACGTCCTTGGTTTGGGGGTAATTTCGAGGCTGCTCATGGGTAGAATTCGCGTCCTTAAAATCCCCACAATGCTTTGCGCACGGACCAATTTCAAAAACCGGAGAATGGCTGAACCGACGCAGCACAGCACACATTTAAATGTAAGTATGTAGTGGCGTAGAACATGTGTTGGTAAATATGTTACTTTGTTACATTTGTTATCACCAAAAATGTGTTCCGTGAAAGTAAAGCAAGTTCATAATTAGATAGACATCGTGAGGTATTTATTTTCGGTACAGTTTATGTTGAAACCGTTAGAGAGAGTGGCACACTTGTTAGCCCGTTCCATTCTTCTTTGTTTTCCGAAGCCGTGGCTTGGAAGTATACTTGCTTCGTTTCTGAAGGAAGTGACTTGGAAGTATGCGACTACCAAGCCAGTATCCTCGCGATTGAGAAACGGCCACTTGTCTCCCTTTGTCTTGTGCCAGTTTGTCTTGTTTCAGTGTGCTTCATATGTCCAGAGACTAAGCGTGATACCAAAGAGGAGAGTTTTGTTTGTTTGACATCAAGAGTTTTGTTTTGTCCTCACAAGAGTGATTTTTTGTTAATACTTTGTTTTATTTTTCTCAATAACATATTTGAGTCCAGTATTTTTGTACCCCGTTCTAACAGAAGGACTAATATGAACCACATCAAACATCAAACCTGTAATCCTTATGATACCCTAACCCTAACCCTAACCCTAACCCTATGTTCAAGTCGTCCCTGAATACACACAGATCTGCCCTGAAATAAACCAGTCTCTAAAACCATGTGTGTCTCCACCTGTAGATGTGTGTAGATGTCCAGTTAGTGTCTTGTCTTTGTGTTCAGTCTCTTAATGATGAGCTGCAGTGATGGGGTCGAGCGCTCATCTAAATCAATTCTGCCAACCGGCTGACGCCTCCAGAAAAACACATAGGGCCACGATAGCTATGGATGTGTTCTTGTCTCCTTTGCTGTAACATTTACAAATCGTTGGACGAATCAAGTAATCCTGACTGTGAGGCATTTGGTGTTTTGATGATAGTGGTGAATAGGACTGTCTCGGATGGGTTTACATCTAGTGAAGGCCATAGAATATGACTCACATCAAACATTAAACCTGTAATCCTTCTGATATCCTATCCCTAACCATAATGTATGTTCAAGTCGTCCCTGAATACACACAGATCTGCCCTGAAATAAACCAGTCTCTAAAACCATGTGTGTCTCCACCTGTAGATATGTGTAGATGTCCAGTTAGTGTCTTGTCTTCGTGTTCTGACTCTTAATGATGAGCTGCAGTGATGGGGTCGAGCACCGTCCTGCGCTAATGATTAAAGCCGATCGGCCGACACATCCAGAAAAACACAGAAGGCCACGATAACTATGGATGTGTTCTTATTTGATTTTAATTTCAGTAACGTGAGCTTTCATCTTTATTCGTTATTTACACAAGCTGTCTCCTTTGTTGTAACAATGCACATTTCCAAACTGTTGGACCAATCAAGTAATCCTGACTGTGAGTAATTTGGTGTTTTGATGATAGTGGTGGATAGGACTGTCTCCCAAATGTGTGTGGATGGGTTACGATCTAGTGAAGGCCATATAATATGAAACACATCAAACATCAAACCTGTAATTCTTCTGATATCCTAACCGTAACAATAGGTTCCAGTCGTCCTTAGCTGGATACTCACAGATCTGCGCTGAAATAAACCGTTCTCTTCCCTCCTGAAAACCATGTGTGTCTCCACCTGTAGATGTGTTTAGATGTCCAGTTAGTGTCTTATCTTTGTGTTCTGTCTCTTAATGATGAGCTGCAGTGATGGGGTCGAGCGCTCATCTAAATCAATTCTGCCCGGACCGTCCTGCGCTAATGATTAAAGCCGACTGGCCGACACATCCAGAAAAACACAGAAGGGCCACGATAGCTAACAGAGTATCGAACACTAAATCAAACGCTGTGACACTACAGATCCGCTCCGGTTAGCATTACACACTGCCGTATCTTTCAGTGTGAGTAAATGTGATTGAATGTGTTTTCTCCCTTTCAGAAGCCATTAGCAGGCCGATAGTGATCAGTGGGGTTTAGATCATGGCGGTTTAAAGAGTGGTGGCTGCTGCTGCTTATCTAATAGCCCACAGGAAGAAGAAGCCATTAGCAAATTAGCAAGTCCATCCTCGTCAGGGCTATTAGCGCGAGCCTTTATTTCACTGCTTACAAAGTTACTGAGAAACTTGAGATGAAGAGATGATGAACTCTGGGACATAACGATGGGACTGAGGTCCATTTCCTGTACTGGTTTGTTTGTTTTCTAATGTTTTTTAGACGGTTTGAACATATTATCAAACCAAGCAATCATCTGCACCCCTCTGGTTTTTACCCTTTTATGAAA